CATTTTCAAAGTGCTTTAGAAGCTTTAGAAATGGTCGTTAAGTCTCTCTTTGTTTTAAAAGATACCCCATCCATGGTCATATTTCTGAGCCCAGTTCTGGCAGCATTGGTACTGCAACTGTACCAAAAAACTCAAATTGTAACCTGCGATAGCAACAGTAACCTACTCCTTATGCACTGCAGGAAATGCTGACTTTCTGATGTCCAAATCCCAGCTGGGGATGGAAAACAAGACTTAAACCAAACCAGGAGCCCCACCTCATTTCATTCCCTGCCTCAGTGTGAAGCTGCCACCTTTGCCCTCCTCTGACCTGCCACGTCTCTTTTGTGCTCCCTTCATAGTCACAGGACAACTATTTCCCAGTTGATGTCTACCAGTTTTGGACTATTCTCTACAGAACTACTCAGCAAATGCAGATTTCATGTAAACTGAGCTTGTATCCTTGCCTCTTTGTGTGAGAATTGCTCCAGCAGCACGTTTGTTAAATGTTACATGATCCATCAGAGAGGGGAAGCACCTCAGGGACAGCTTCCTCTGAGATAGCCAAGAACTAGGGCCAGGATCCTGCCATCAGATTACTGGTTAAAATACTTTCAGAGACGTTTTTGCAGAACAGAGCAAGTTAAAATGCCATGCTTAATAAATGTAAGCTTCCCGTTAAGACCATAGTTTATAAATGAGTATGGTATTGACCAAGGCACAGCGTTTAAAAACTGCTTTGCCAACTAAAATTAGCCATCCACAATTACACACTCTTTTCTATCATGAAAGAGGAGCAATTAGCTACAACATAAATTTGGTTTCAGCAGACACAAAGAATTGTGCTATTTAAACCTGTTGCCCATCATGAATTTAAGTCTTCTTAAAAATAGCTTTAGTCACTTTTATTGGTATAAACACCTAAATTGAGATCTAACAGCAAATAAGGATTGTGCTTGTCCATAATAACCTTAGCTGTGAAATCTACTCAGACACAAGACATACAACCTTCCACATACACAAGTTATTTGTCAGCAAAGCAGAATGCTGCCATTCTGAAACAATTACATACAGTAAAGGTTTTCAATATTTTATTAAAGAAAACAGTCAAAATGTACAAGTATTACCCAGGTTTGTAGATAACTTCCTATAAAGGCAGTAAAATATGAATTTCAATCTAGGTTTTAAAAACTGCTATAGTTGCTTATTTTTAAAGTTGGTATTTTAAAATCACGTTTCACAAATAGTTCTGAAATATTACCAAATTAATAGTGCAACAAGAAAATTTGAAATTAGTTCTACACTGTTTGCATGTCAAGCAAAAGTTATAACTAACGGCTTCAAATACTCAAACCATTTGAGAATGAATGAACCCAACAGCTCCCACCAAAACTGACTTCTGACCACATTAGGAACGTCCTCTTCATGTTCTTCACTTAAAATCAAATAATAATAAAACAACACCTCTTGAGGTCATCAAAAATAACTTTAGTATAAAATTGTCTTGGCCCTTATCAAATATTACATGAGTAAAATTGTTAAGCCTTTATCAAAACAGACAGGAATAGGGAAACAAAAAAATGTCATGGCCTTAATCCGTATCTGTTGGAATCATGTTTAGAAACGTTAGAAGCAAGACCAGAAACTCGGAGCCCTGTTTTGTTTTTAAAAACCACACAATCACAAAGAAAAAACCAGCTTCTTACTGCCTAAGGTTTGGGGGTGTTCAGCTCAAGTACCTGTTCCCATAGACAGCAACCTGTTATGTTCTGAAGAGAGCATACGCAAAATATAGAAAAATAAATAAAATAGCTTCTTACAGCCTAAGGTTTGGGTGCTGGGTGGTGGCTTAGTATGTCCCCCACAGGTCACACTCTCTTGAGCTCATATGCAGAAACATGGAAATGTATATCCATCTTTCTTTTTTTTAGAAAGAGAAAAGCCCCCCTACATCCCAAAGCTCTTGAGATCGCAAAGGATGGTGCCCTGGGTGCTCTGGATGCTTTGGCAGCATGGGAAGTGGGCTCGGAGACACACCCTGAGCTCCTTGTTGAAGATGAAGCAGAGGATCGGGTTGACCCCTGCCTGGGCAAACGTCATCCAGACGGAGGTGGTCAGGTACACCTGGGGGATGGAGCTGGCCTTAATGAAGACCCGCAGGTAGCAGGCCACGATATAGGGGGACCAGAGCAGCAGGAAGAGCAAGGTGATCATGTAGAACATCTTGCAGAGCCTTTTCTCCATCTTAAACTCCTCCAGCACCAGCAGCCTCTTGATCTGGCTGTGGGTGGCCTGCCTTATGCCCACGAGGGTGGGCGGCGTGGGCCCCCTGCCAAAGCCAGCCGTCCAGTTCGCAGCCGCTTGGCCGGTGGCTCCCGGCCCGTGGAAGGTCCAGTTCTGGCTGATGGCCGGCACCAGCTGGGCCGGCTTCATCTTGCGGTGGCCGTGGATGAAGAAGAGCAGCTTGATGTAGACCAGGTGGGTGGCGGCGATGACGGCCGCCAGCATGAGCATGAAGCCCAGCGTGTCGTTGGCCTTGACGTAGCGGTGCTCGAAGATGCACTGTTCCTCCTCCCGGATGAACTTGTAGGTGCCCACGTCGAAGACGGGGGGAAAGGCCATGGCCATGGAGAGGGTCCACACCATGCACACCACAGCCAGGCAGGTCCAGCCCGTCATGCGCTTGGCGTAGAAGCGGTGGTGGGCGATGGCCATGTAGCGTGTGACCCCCACGCAGAAGAGCAGGAAGGCGGCGTGGAAGCAGAAGAGCACGGCCAGGAAGGCCAGCACCTTGCAGCTGAGGGGCCCGTGGGGCCAGGCGGCCCCGCTGCGCACCGACAGCATGACGAAGGGGAAGCAGGCGAGCGAGCGGAGCCCGTCGGCCAGGCAGAGGTCCAGCAGCAGGTAGTAGGGCGCTCGGTGCAGGTGCCGGTCCTTGAGGATGAGCCAGGCGAAGAGCACGTTCCCGGCCAGGCTGACGCACAGGATCAGCCCCAGCGTGGCGAGCTTCAGCCCGGAGGCGCTCAGCAGGCCGCCGGCGCTGGGCAGGTGCGGGCTGCTGCTGCTCCCCAGCTCGCTGCTGTTCGCCATCGGGTCCTTCCTCCTCCTCCTCTCCTCCTCCTCCTCTCCTCCTCCGCGCGGGCAGGCCGGGGGCTGAGGGCTCAGCGCCGCGGCAGCGCGCCGGGGCCGAGGGCCGCGCCGCCCGGCGCCCCCATGCCCGCAGCCGCCGCCGCGCTGCCGCCGCCGCCGCCCCGGCCGCCCCGGCGAGGCGGGGCGCTGCCGCCGCGCTCCCCGCGGGCCATGCGGCTCCCGCGCCCGCGCTAGCTCCGCGCCCGCCGCCGCCGCCGCCCCGGGGGCATCGGGGATGCGCTGGGATGCGCAGCGGAGCCTCCCCTTACCGCCGGCAGCTGCTCCTCCGCGCCGGGCGAGGGGCCGGGCGAGCCTGCGCACAGCGGCGGCGGCGGCTCTGCCCAGCTCCCGCCGAGGACAATGGGGTAAATCCCCCTCCCTCTCTCCCTCCTTTTTCCCTTCCCTCCTCCTCCTCCTGCTGCTCCTCCGTCCCTCCGCCCACTCCTCCGCCCCCCGCGCAGCCCGGCCCCTGCGGAGCGCGGGGCTGAGCCAGGCGCGCAGCGGCGCGGAGCGGCGCGGAGGTCCCGCTGCCGCAGCGGGGCTGGGAGCGGGGCTGGGCTGGGCTGGGCTGGGCTGGGCTGGGCTGGGCTGGGCTGGGCTGGCTGGGAGGAGCCGCCTGCGGCCGGACCCCAGCCTTGCCCTTCTCCCGCCGGGGAGAGTGCCGGGATGGAGCTCGGGGGCAGCCGCGGGTGCGGTGGGGTGCGGTGAGGGGTCCGGCTCCAGCGGCCGTGGCGGGGATCCCCTGCACCCCCTTCCAAAGTAGCAGGGGAGCGTGATGCCGTTCGCAGCTGATGGAGACAGTGTATCTGGGTGTAAGACAGGCGTGCTTGTGTGTATAATCCCATATACACGCATACCGGTACCTACGGCATGTGCGTTGGTTCAGTATAGCCACACATTAGTGATACACCCGTGTCACTGTCACCAGTGTGCTTCTGCTAGATTTGGCCATACTAAACGGCCTTTTAACTTCCCGCTGGCAAGCAAGGCAAGTCCAACAGCACCTGTTGCAGTGCAGCATCCGGGTGTGCTCTGCCACACTTGGCAGGGGGTTTTGGAGGGGAAGGAGGCTTGCCACAACCTTACAGGGCAAACTTTTCCGTGTGAACATTAAGGAAAAGGTGCTTCTGCAACTAGGAGTCTGACATTTGGGTTCCTAGTGGAATCTCTCATTTGGGGTCTGACTAGGGCTCTAAGAGGATCAAACAGGATGCTCTCCATGTTTCTGTGTCGTTCAGGGGCTTACCAACTCCCAGGCTTAGTTACACAGGTCCCACAGTGGGCTGGGCAGGTTATGTGAGCTGAATAAACCACATTTGACCCAACTAGCACAGAGCATCTGCTAATGCACCTGTGCTGTTGGTGCAGGTGTATAATGGACAGTTGAATGTAGGCCAGTGAGATGCAGATCCTTGTCCTCTCTCTCCCATTTTGCCATCCTCGTGTATGTAGGGCAAGGCCTCTCTGCGTGCCTTGTAAGGCACGCACCAACGCACGGCCCTGGGCTCACTGGAGATGCTAATGCAATTATCGTACTATTACTGAGTTTCCTTCATGGCCTCTTGTGAAGGACACGTCTGAAATCCTTTTTGAGCATTCTATTAAAAGTCATCAGTAAATTCCACATTATTCCAGGAACTATAGCAATTAAATCTGCATAAGCCCCAAAATCAAAAGTTGGTGGAGCATCTTTCGAGCAGATCTTTCTGGCTGGTTTCAGAGTCTTTCTGCATTTAGCAGGGACCAGGCTCTGACCCTGATCGTGCCACCAGACGGCCAGAGCAGCTCTGCTGAACTCCTGGCATTTTAACAGTGGTGAACCAAAGCCAGACTTTGGCCCAAAGATGTGTCAAGGGCAATCTGTATCACACAGGACTTAATTTGCCCCTGGATCTGGTTTATGCCCGTTATTTATTGCAGTGTTAGGAGACCAAAGAAACCCTGAGAGAGGGGGAAAAAAAATAGGTGGTAGATAATTGAAGCTGCTTTTTGCTTCCTAGCAGTGCATCTGAGCTGTTTTCAGTTGTTAGGTTTCTCATTCGCACCGAAGTTTTACTGTGACAGAGAATTGCCCACGGGTTGTTCAGTGCTTTGTGCAATTTTCCAGGCGTTTCTCGCACTCATGCAGTGACTGGAGTGCCGGGTTCGTGGTGTCCTCTCGGCAGCCCTGGCACCTCTGTCTGGGGTGTGTCTTTGCGGAGGAGCCCCCGGTGCAGCTCAGGGACGGGCTCTGCCACGGCAGGCTGCCAGGAGCCAGCCTGTTTTGCCAAACGTGAGCACGAGGATCGGTGTCCTCGGGGCCATGTGGCTTTTCAGAGGAGCTGAGGAGCCCTTATGGCCCGAGTTAGCTCTGTGATCTCCGCCATCCAGTGAACAAAATGGAATAACACACCTGCTTCCCTCCTCCGCTCCTGCGGGAAGGGTTTCTCCTCTCCTGAACGCTCGCCAGCGCAGCTGAGCTGGCTCAGGAGCTGCCGTAATTCACTGCTATCTTGCCAGGCCAGCAGCAAATTGCTAGCTCATCTTTCTTCCACCTGTAGCGAGAAGAGAGCCGGCAGGGAATGGTGTTTCATCCATTTTCCCAGGGCTGCTTCCCTGATGAGGCTGTTACACAGTGCTATAGGAGGTGTGAGCCTAGAATTTGGCTGGCTGAGAGATGTGGCACTAAAGGGACAGCCAGAAGGAATGAAGAAAATAAAGGGCAGGCGGGGGGTTGGCAATCTTTATATGAGCAGCTCCTTGCATCCCAAAGGGGCTGGCCTGGCATTAGACCCACCAGGATAAATCTGCCTGTTAGTTACACCCTGCCAGGAGAAGAGCCCTCCCTGCCCCACCTGGGTCACCCCATACAGGCAAGCCAACACCAATTCAGGCTGCTTCATGTCTTGTTGCATCAGACCCACCAACTTCAAACAAGTTCCTCGTCCAGACTCGGTCTCAGCTTGGACATTATTGCCAGACTTACAGCATTTGACTAAAAAAAATAGAAATAGGGCATTTTGTAACCTCTTTGCTGTTGCAGAGGTGCTCAAGGAGCTCCTCCCGGCTGCAGGGACTGCAGTGCCTGTGGAAGTGTCAGCCACTGAGAGTCAAAAGGAGCAGCAGGGACTGCCCCTGTATCCACATGGCAAAGCCTTCACCTTCAGTGCTGCTTGGCCCTGCCAGGTGTCCAGCCCCCAGCCAAGCAGGGACACCTCTGTGCATGGGTGTACCCCTGGACACTGAAACACAGAGCTCCTTCCTCCAGTGCCTTGGTGAGGGCTGGAAACACTGTCTATTGATTTGGGCATAGCCAGACAAAAGCCAGACCCACCTCAGCAGTCCTGGGGAGCAGGTAATTCCCAGAGATTGTAATGAGAGTGTTAAGCTATTTTCCTTTCTCCCTTCAATCACTTTCACAAAACGAGTTTAATGAAGAGCTATTCTCTGCTTACAAGATGGTGCTGCAGAAACTAGATGGATTCCTCTGACCTTTCAGTGTGCTTTACTTGAATTGGCTGCCTCTTCATGTTCTCCTCTCACTGCCTTGAATGGGAAAGACAGCTGAAATAGGGACTCTTACAGCAAACACTGTGGCATATTGCCTTCTTTCTACCAGTCACTGGTGTGCTTCCTGAAGCCTTGTCTATTTATTAGTAGTGGTTTTATTTGTGTTCTTGTGGCTGGGAGCTCTGCATAACATTTCTGGAAAGAGAAGTGTCCTGTACCCCTGTAACAGTGCAGTAGAAATCAGTGTTGTCCCTGGTGTGATGTAAAGGAAGAAGTGGGAAATGTCTGGACATGCCTGAAGGACAATCCCTGAGCTCCACCATGGCTGACACACCACAGGGGAGCAGGACAGGTGAGAGCAGTCAGCCAAAGTAATTTTGCTGTCACAGATAATTCAGGCAAGGAAAAGTTTTCAGGCTTTGCAATCAAGGAGATGGAAAGGTCAGTCTGGAGCAAAACGGGATAACACAGGTTTGAGTTGGATCTGGCAGAAAAAGATTAAAGTTCCTCCTTCCCAGCTTCCTGTAATTCCCAGAAAGTTCTCTGGATGACACTCATTATTTGTGTTATCTTTGCACTTAGTGGAGTGAGTCAGGGACCGGGGTGCTACACAAGCAAAACAAAAAGCTGTTCTTTTGTCAAGGAAATTTAAAATCCAACAGTGCAATGAGAGAGAAGGCTGATACAAGCCCTAGAGAAGGGGGAGAATGAACAAACCACGAGGCAGCAGCCTAGGGAATGGCACTGGCATAAGGGTGGCTATCAGTCATCCCTGGAAGGGGAGGAGGGAGTGTCAGGAGCTAATGAGGCTGGTTTGTGGGTGTTTACAAGGCTCATGATAATACTTTGTGGCAATGACAGAACAGAAGATGACACATTAAGGTAATGTTTGGGCACTGGGTAATGTGAAAACAGCGTGAGAAGATTAAAATCTGCAACATTTACAGTACTACCCAAAATAACTGCTCTGCACAGGAGCCATGCTTGCCCTCTGTAACCAGGGCACAGGAATGGTACTTGCCAGTGAAATGAAGATATTTAATGCTGGAAAACTTCCCCCCTGCCTCTTGCTTACAGAGGATCCAGATGTCAGCTTGGGGATGGGGTACTGCCATCAGGCTGGGAAGGGCATGGGCCAGCAGAGCCCAGATCTGTGCTCAGCAAAACACTCATGAAGGATTTTGGATGTGGTTTTGTTCCCATAATGATTAGCACAGTCGTGCAAAATGTACAGATGACACCAGAGTGGATGGGACTATTAATGTCACTGTTGAATCCTGATTTCCTGGATGGCAGTGGAGGATGTGCAGTGAGCAGTCACAGAGCTGCATCTGTGACAGAGGGGTATCTGACAGCTAGTGATCACATTTTTCAAGGGCTTATTCCTGGCTGTTTAATACTTCATCTGCTCTCTTGGGAAGGGAGGAGGGAAGAACGGAGGAGTATATTTGGCACAGCAGGGAAGTGGACTCGGGTCTTTTCCATCCCTTAGTGCTGTGCTGTTGCAGGGGGAGAGAAAGCCTCCTTCCACAGCAGTACTAATCCTCCTCCACAGCAAGATGAACGTTTTGAACTTGAACAACTCCTCTCATTTTTCCCCCATGTGATTGTGAGTCAGGCTGAGCTTCTCTATTCTTCTCCATAATTGAGTAGGAGATTATTTTGACTGGAAATAACCAGACACAGGTATCATGGCTGTGAAAGCCTCCATGCATGCCACTTACTAAAAGTTCTGTAGCCTTCTGTGAAGTGACCTGGTCTTTAAAGGCTTTGCTCAATGGAGAGGGAAGAAAAGCAGAGGGGAAGAATAGCTCCTTCCTGCTCACTTCTATCACTGTCTCTGCTAAACTGAACCTGCTGAATTGTTGGTGACACACTGTTCTTCAGAAGCAGCTCCTTTGTGGAAGACCTCCTCTGTGACACGGGGAATAGCTGCTGTGAGACAGGAAATACCCCTGACACGATGGCTTTCTACAGGAGCTCATAGCTGCTATCCAGTCCCATGGACATGCCGAGATAGTTATGAAAAGCCATTCCTTTAAAATCTCCCCAGGCACAGATTTTCCTGTCCTCTGCCTGTATCCATAATTGTCTTCCATGAGATGCAGGCCAGCTGCTTGGGTTGCATTCCCAGCCCTCTGTCCCAGAGGCAGTGAGTGATGGAGGAGTGCAGGGTGAGCGAGAAGCAGATGCAATGTGAGGCTGTGGCAGGGCACGTGGCACAGGATGCTGCCAGATGCCAGCTCTGGCTCTTGGTGGGTACCAGGGAGGCAGATGCAGCCTCGTGGCAGGGCTGAGTTTTAGCTACACACACTCCTACCAGCAAAGCCAGACACTAAGGAGCATTTCACGAGATCAGGCTTTCTCCAGTTTATACATAAGTGGGATTGCTCCAGGCTGTTGAACCAGCCTGCTGCAGACTAGCCAAGCCCAGAAGTTTTATCTCTGCTGTAGCAAACTCAAGCCACTGCTGTTCTGCTTGTGCATCCAATGTCTCAGCTGCTTGCTTAAGAGCTAATGAGCTTTTGGGGATACATGGGTGCTATAAACTCCTTAGGCCAGGCATAAGCAGCTTATTGCCTTTAGGAGCACTGCCAGCCCTTGGCTCTGCTGCTGAAGTGCTTCTCAGGCCCAAGTTCTTCATTAGCAGCAAGGGCTGTGAAGTCCTGAAATAAATGTGCTTCTGCTTCCATGTGTGCATGTGCAGCCATCTGCACAGGGTGAGGTAAAACCAGGCAGTGGGACAAGCAGGCAACACCAGGCTTTACATGCTGTTGTCACATCTCCCTGTGTGTGCCATCAACCCTCACAAAGCACATTCCCTGCACTGAGGCTGTGCTGGCTCATCTGTACAGGATAAATCCACCACCCTCATCACAGTGAAATTCACCATGGACAGTGTGGGCAGCTTCAGAACAAAAGGTGGCTATGTTGGTCATGAGCCAAATTATTTCCATTGCTATCCTCTCTTTGCTTTTGAATAGACCTGCTGTGAATGTCTGTCTAGAAAATTCACTGGGTAAAAAAAAAATAATTGAGGTAATACACAACTGAAAGTTCACTTGCAAAACCACTATGAAGACAAGTTTTTATTTTCTTCATATGAATTCAGCCCTTGCTGTTCTCCACTCATTGTGTGCAGTGTCTACCATCAAAAGCAATCCCATTGCAACTGGCCAACAGTTGCTACTCCTACAAAATGCTAGAGAGAGCCTTCAAATCTGCTTGACTTGCCAAAGCATCTCCATTCTTATTGTGTATTTTACTTTTTTCCCTCCCCTTTTACCCAGGTATAAAGTAGCCAAACAGCTCTCTTTCAAGGCATAACTAGGAGCAGAATTTGGTATGCAACTCTCAAATTTTTATTCAGCTTCTCTCATTGGAGCAGTTTTGGAATTAATCTAGTCATCAGGCAGAGTTATTTCAGGTGCTGGAACTACTATCTGATGCTATCTTTTAATTTGAGTAGATAAAATCTGGAATGTGATTTCTTTGCTGCTCCATTGTCTTTATTTGTTACCTTTCCTGTTGGTTTACACTGTGCACAGTTTAGATGGAGCCAGAACTGCTCCCTTATTTTGGCACTCTGTGCAAATGGATATCCTCTCCTCGCCTATGGCCCCTTGCCCCCACAGCTGGTGGAAATGAAAGGATGAGCAAAGTAAAACCTTTGGTGTGACTAAAACTGTGAGATTCAACTGTACCAGAGAGTCCATGAACACTGCTTGAATGCTAAATTCAGAGTTAAATGGGTGTTGTCTGCTGAGATAACACCCTTGCTGGGGTGTTGGAGTGCACGATGATCCGGCAGCGTTCCCGTGGCACCGCGAGGTCACCTCAAAGCTCTCCCACCGCTGCTGGAGCAGCACAGACACTTCAGTGCCATGCCTGGAATTCAAATCCAGCCATCACCAGATTCATGCTCACAGGCTGAAAGTCACTTAACTGACCCTTCTGTGTTTAAATCACTTCTTCAACAAAGGCGCTCTCTTGTCATTTTGCTTTGAACTGGAGGAATAGCACATTAAAAGGTTTTGCAGTTTTAAAGTGTCGGTGGGTCTCAACCAACTTTTTCGGCTCAATAAAGCATGAAAAATATTTTTTCACCAGACTATCCTATCAACTGAACTTTTAAGGCAGAATGATGAAAAGAAAAATATTCTTTTAATAGTGCTTTCTCTCTGGTAAAAGGTGTTGCTAACTTGTTGAAGCAGAGCTTGGAATAACAGATGAAAACTGTCAAAAAAGCTGTGATGTACTTTGGATCGGAGTGAAAATTGTGACCAAAATCTGAGTCTGCCTAAACCCTGAGTTATATGCCAAAATGCCCAGGATTCCTTGGCTCATCATGCAAGTTGATGAGGGTAAGAGCTTATTTCTTTGGGATTGGGTTAATTCTTAGGCATTCCTTTTGTGCAAAGGGCTCTTCTTTGGAAGGGCTGGGTCCTTTAATTTTTTTATTTATTTGGCTTTTTGCCTTTGCATTTTATCTAACAAAGTTCACTTCAGTGATGCAGGATTGATGAGAAAAAATCTTCCAGAGCTGTGTTAAACCTGAAATCTTCATACCTGAGAGAAGCAGGGCCTGGGCTTTTGAGAAGATCCAGCAGGATTCTACATTTCTTGAGATCTTGAAGAAGTTTTTTGGGGTTAAACAAAAACAAAGCTTAGGGGGGAAGAAAGGACACTGGTAATATGCAGAAGCCTTGTAGAAAGCCTCTGGGTGCCACTGGCATGCCAATTGATTTACCTTTGCAATAAGGGCACGATGACTGGGAGGATCATGGAGAGCTGTATGAATTCTGCCTGTGCAATGTGTGAGCTCAGCCTGGAAACAAACCTCCTCTGCCAAGTTCTGCAGGGCCATTTCCAGCTTTTCTCCTCGAAGGAGAGGCTCTGCTACCAATGAATAAAGTGGGAATTTTGACACTGATTTCAAAGGAAGCTAAATTGAGCTCCATGAAAAGGGAGCGCTAGCACGCAATGCTGCTCTTAGTTTTTTCTTATTAATGTGACTAATTAAATGTTTGTATTTTTAAAGCACTAACAGTTTTTTTGATGGTCGTTTAGAGACTTTGAGAAAGTCAATAATTTTGATGAAATAGGACTGTAGACTCCAGAACAAAGTCCACATGGAATCCGTGATGTTGCTAGGATACAGCTATTAGTATTTTCAGTGGCTGGGTTATTTTTTGGTGTGGTTTTTCTTTTTTTTATTTTTAATAGAGTTGGCCTAACCTCTCTTACAAACAGTAGAAGAACACGTGACGGCCTGATCCCATTTACATGATGCTCCTTCAATGTACCTTGATGAAGCCAAACTTGACCCTTTAATTTCAGCCACTTTTACGTGTGAAGAAGAAACACAAAGAGCAGTTTTGACCCAAATCTTGTTGGTTTTTTAAACGGATGTGCAGGCTTTTCTCCCTGTGGGTGTTCCATTGCTGAAGTCAGTCTCCCTCTAGTGGTTTCTTTCCAGAGGGGAAAAGAAACCACTCTGCTCTGCTGGCTTGGACAGGTACCAAATGCTCTGGCGTGATGCAGAAAGTGGAATGACCCTGCATAGGTCAGCGGGCTTGGATAAAAATACTATGCCTCGTAATTTTCATATGTCAGAATGTACTTATTTTTTTACAATATCCATAGTAGTGGAGGGTTTCCATCCCAGACTCACTCTGCAGTCCAGGCTAACATGGTTTGTGCAGCGTGTAGGATGTGACTCTTGCACATTGTTTCCTTCAGCTGTACACTGGGGAGACTGTAAAAAAAAAAAGATCAGTATTTAAGCTCATGTTCCACATCAAAGCCAGTGGCAGATGTGGTGTCAATAACATTATGACACAGAATAGCATTGAGGATAGTGCTATTTTGGGATCCTCATGTTTGGGGAAGAAATATCTAAGTGAAACACTACAGATATTTCACTGGAAAATCGGGAAAAGCCAGATGTTTGGAGTTTGTTTCCAACATATAACTTTGAGACCTGTCAGGTTTCTTGCATTTATGCTCCTGACCTCACCTTTGATGGGCATCTCTTTAGCACCTCAGAGAGCCCCAGTGCTTTCCAAGTGTGGGGAACAGGGAAGGACGAAAGCAGAAGCCCAGTATCCAAAGCTAAGTAAGAAATTCCAGTCTCTGAATACCAGTTGCATGGATTGGATGCTGGGTTAAGCCAGTTCAGCTCCCCAAAGATGGCTAGGTAAAGAAATAAAGATCTAATCTAAAGCATGGTGAAGTCAATCTACGCCCTTATTTAACTGTAAAGGGTTTTGGATGAGGCTCAGCCTTCCTTCACAAGTGGTGGTAACCAGAGAGAGCTGTGATTCTGGAATGCATCAAGGATCCTGAAAAGACTGGTGTCTTTCCAACTTGTACACTACCTTGAGGTAGGTACTGCCTTCTTCATGCTTATATCTGGCAGAATTCCATCCTCTGATTTGCTTTTAATATACCAACAGAGCAATTGGACCCATTTTTTCCTTTATTAACTGTAATTAGAAAGCCTGGAGAAATCTAGGATCACCTGCCCCAGAAGTTAGGAAACTCCTGTTCCATTTTCACAGCAGGTCATGAGATGCCATCTCCTTCCCATGAAGCATTTTACAGAATGTTCAGTTATGTAACTACTTTAGGGTAAGGCTTTACTTTTGTTTACCTTTTTGTTAATGCTGAGCTTCTGTTGGGCAATCAGGAATCTTGGTCCCTTGGGAGATGTTAAACCACCTTCCTTTGGATGCTGCTCCATAAATCTGCACAGTGGTTTCCAGGAGAGTGATTTTGGAGCCAATTCTGTATTTAATTTTTTTTTTTCACTCCTCAGGATAAAGTTTCTACCCAGTATCCTGGCCAAAGCTGACTTGATTTTAGTTCATAACTTGAGCAAGAGCTATTCCATTTATTTTTGAATATATTAAAAAAAATGCATTTACTCCTAGGATGTGGACAAAGTTCCTATACTTTTTAACAGCTTCACAGCTAAAAAAGCAGAGGTACAAATTTAATATGCACATGTCCTTTCTGAGATTTGCTCTGCCATCAGT